AGTTGGCACTAGACATAGGGGGGCGATGCACCGCCCTATGGGTGGCGGTGCCACCTGCCTGCCAAAACCCAAACCCAGTGCTCTCTAGAAAAACAAAGCGATGCAAGGCACCAGACAGTACGGTGACCATAGCGGTGCCACCTTCAGCTCCAACTTGATCTCCATCACCTCAAGCTTGTAGAGCATTTTATTAGCTTTCCGAAAAGTCCTAGATCATCAAAATTGGAGTTCGGAGCTAAGAGTTATGCCAAAAATACGAAAGGGTGGTAGTGCTGATATGGGCACGTTGCAGGGGGTGGCGGTGCACCGTGCAAGGGGTGGCGGTGCCACCGCCCTAGGGTGTCCAGTGCACACCGAAAAGGGCAGTGCCACCCCCTAGGCTGGGCTACATGTTGGCCACACATTTGGTTGCGTTTTCTGATCCTCGGACAACCCAAACTTGCTCTTTTCTTCTTCTTTTCTTCTCCAATTTCACCAAGTTAATCCAAAACAACTCTAAGAACTTCTCGTTTGCAAAAGTGCCAACACCACCAAGTGTACAACATCATGTGCAAGTGTGTTAGCATTTTCACAAATATTTTATCAAAGGATTAGCTCTCTTTTCACCACGCCACTCGATCCTAGCAACGATGCAAAGTTAGATCACTCGAGTGGCACTAGATGACCGATATGCAAACAAGTTTGCCCCTCTTGATAGTACGGCCATCTATTCTAAACCCGGTCATCAACTTCTCTACACACCTATGACAGGTGAAATGAAATGCCCTATAGGTTATACCTTTGCCTTGCGCATTCCATTCCATCTCCTCCAATGTTGATGCAACACATGCACCAACCATATCACAAATGATATGATCCACTTCATATCATCACGTGACCTTGTTGGTTCATTGATCTTGATGTCACTTGCTCTTCATCGTTTCCTTCATCCATCGGCGCCAAGTCTTGCTCAAGCTTCACCGCCACACGGTCCATTGCTCCAGAGCCTTCAACTTGCCCTTCACGCTTGCAACTAGTCCATCAAGCCAAGTCTTATCTTGATCTTCTCCACCTTAGTCACATGACTCAATATCATGTCTCATATGTAATGATCTCCTTCATCATATGTGTGAGCCTTGTAACAAATCCAAGCCATTTCACTTCCATGGCATAGGTTGCTCACACATGATGTACTTGTGGACTAATCACCTGTGTATCTCACTCAGACACATATTAGTCCACCTAAGGTTGTCATCAATTACCAAAACCAAATAAGGACCTTTCAATGTTTCATGGGTAGTGTTATGTACTATGTTGTTAAACTTCTGTTGTGGCTTATTGTTGAATGATGTGTGAACTCTTAAGATGTTAACTTCACCTATGTATCTTGAACTTGTATTGTAAAGACTTAACTTATGTTTTATGTTAAGTGAACATGTCTGGGCTATATTGGAGGGTCCTCGCACCCCACCTTTTGTGCCTTTTGATAGGCTTCTATCGATCTAGAGAATCATAAGTACAGCTAAGACCAGAGCATTGTGGTTGCACTGTATGTTCCGGTTGGGTGCCCCATGAATTGATCCTTACAGTGGGCAAATGTGAGCATCTCTAAAAAAAGAACACTATGCTCAGACCCTAGGTTCCAACAAGAGTTGCTACGAAAAGCCCCATTTTATTAAACAGTGTTGCATAAACTATTAATCAAGTTACCATCATAAGCACATATCATTAGAAAGGGTTGAAGTAGCTAAGCAAGTTCACAACTACCCACATGTAAACCCATGTACAAGGAATTAAGGAATTATAAGTAAACTAGATAGTCCTTAGGGTTTACAAAATTATACACATGTATATAAATAAAATGATTAAAGTGAATAGGTAAAGAACATGGTCAAAGGGCATTTACTTTCTCTAAATTGTTGTGACTGCTTTGTCTCTTCAAAATATTGCTCCTAGAATTTACCCTCTTGCTCTCCTTCCGTACACAGTGAACATCACACAAAGGCACATACAAGCAAACAAACTTTATGTAAGTTAAACAATGCATTAAACATCAAGAGAAACATTAATGTCCTAGAAATCACCCACTTGCTAGGAACTCATGAGCACATGTCATAGAAGATTTCACTTGAAAAGTCATCAAATTTAGGGGGGGCTTCTTCAAAGACATGTCGGTGCTGACATGTCGTCTGTTGACCCTTGGGATGACTTTGTCAAGGACCAATACAAAGCGTTGATTATAGATTGAACAACCGAGAATCTTTTACCAAAGGGGTTTATGAGGACATTACCCATTTGTATACAAACAACACTATTAAAAAAGGGCCAATTACTAGCACAATAATTTAATCTCCGGTGAGCTCATTCCTATGCACTTCATTTTATAATTATGATAATAGATTGCTACTTACTAATATTCAGAGGCGGAACCAGCAACTTTGATGAAGGGGGGCCGAACAAATATGATTACACACATAAGTGTATACTTCAACAACTTTTTTAGTGCTTTTGGATGTGTAGTTAGTATTCATAACGAAAAATAGATGATATGTCTCATTTTCAAAATATTATGATTAAAAATAGATGAATTGTCGTGTTTTTGTGATGTAAATTAACAAACTTTATAAGGATACTTAACAAAGTTTCACTACGTGGGGGGAGGGCATGGCCCCTACTGGCCCCCTGGTTCCGCCTCTGCTAATATTATTATTCATAGGAATTATAGAGAGGTAAGGAAGTACTTGGAGAGAGGCATAGATGGAGAGGAGACTAGTGTGCGCATCCCATCCAAGTTGGAGGCCCAAGTCTGCCTCAGACTCCAGGAGTAGTTTGCACTCAAATCACAGTCCATGTCACATACAGACTCTATTTTTTTTTACATTCTACTTATGCATGTGCATATAGACTCTGTTATGGACATTCTACACATGCACAGAAAGTTAATTAAGGAGATAAAAAGTTCAATGACACTAGTCCCACATTCAAATTTCTTAAGAGTCAAAGGGAATTGCAAAAACAGTTATTTTCGTCACCACTAGATGGTAAGGCTATCTTCAACAGGAGACCCATAGGGGACCCAAACCTAAAATAAGCCTCTAACAGAATACCTATAGCCTCCAATATAATACCTATATGGAAGACCCATTTTTTGTGTCAGGAGAGGTATAACTCAAATCCGAGTATCCTCTCTCCTGAAGACCTATTTGTAGAAAGAATTCTCTTTTGGATCTCGTTGGAGAAGACAAAAAATAAGTATTGAACCATTTGCCTATAGCGCTACCTAAACGTGAAATGAGTCTTGTATTTTAAATAACAGTTGTCGGAGCCGGTCTAAGTCCTCACTAGCCGTTGAAGTAGCTGTTTCTCTTGTTGATATCATTTATCCGCTGCTCCTCTCACCACCGCCGCACTGTACGGTGAGCACTACGCAGTTGCCCACCTTTTAATTGTCATCGGATCATCCGCTAGAGTCTTCACATTAGCTGTTGGGTTGTCCGGTGACTTAATCTTCATAGTGCCCAAGTTACTGGATGTCGCTAGATCGTACACTGTTTGCACCATGCTATCCACCGAATACTTCGTTAGATAATATTCGTAAGTCTTCAGCTTTGGCCAAACATTCGACCAACACTCTATCGTCCAATGCCTTTGTATCCTTGACCACCGTACCGTCCACTACGTTCAACTGAATAGTACCCTATTGGATTGATCACCAGACAACCACCCAATCATCCGGCGTGTTCATTCTCCTTGCCGCCGGACTTCTGGTGCTTACAGTTTTCTTCTCTAGACTTCGCAGCATTTGTCATATTCGTTACTCTACTGTTTGGGGGACAACACTGCTGATATTTGCACTTGTTGCCTCTCAAAACATTACTCCCTCCATTCTAAATTATAAGACGTTTTGGTTTTTTTAGATTCATAGCTTTTTGCTATACACCTAGATATATATGTTATGTCTAAATAATGTCATGAATCTAGAAATGCTAAAACTTCTTATAATTTAGGATAGAGGAAGTATATGAGAAACATTTCAAATATGAAAAAAGTGAAATGAATATACGAAGATAGACAAAAGTCTTAAGGTGTATTGTGCCAGTAAAGGAGTCCTTTTTCCCCCCTCCACCAGAAAACAAAATTAACTTGAGTTGTCTTAAGTTAAACTATTTAAAATTTGACAAACTTTGTAGAGTATCAACATCTATGAATGAAACAAGATAAGAAAATATATTTCATTATGTATCTAATGAAACTATTTTGGTGTCATAAATATTGATGTTCCTTTCTATAATTCCAATTAAACTTATGATAATTTGACTTTGAACAACTCTATAAGCTGATTTATTTTGAGACGGATGAAGTATAATCTTCGTTTTGCTGTTCTATCAATTTCAGACAGGTCAAAGTTATGCGCTCATTTTATAAGAATGTGTACAGCTTTTTGGAGACCTCGCAAGAGTGCAGAAATTATTCAAAATTCTCATGCCAACTTCTATGAGTTGAAATTTCACAAGAAAAATAAGAATCAACAGGCCAAGGATCTCGCATTTAAACTCTCAAGATATTTAAACATTCCCAAGTTCCAATAAAAACTCAATCCTCCAACCATATTTTTGAATGGCAACTAAATTAGCATGCTGACATTTTCATTTCATATTTCACATGGACATGATTTGCCTTCAGTAAAAAAGAAGAATAAGAAGATGCAGATTTGCAACAGGCTCTATATATTCTTCCCTTTTCACAATATTGGTCCAGAAACAACTTGCACAGCATTCAAGGAAGCAATTAATTGAATAAAAGGATAGACGAACACATGAAAACCAATGATTTACAGGGAGAATGTGCTACAGAACTGAATCAAAATGAGACGGTCGGATTCCATCTATCGACAAGCGTGTTAGCCTTATCGTCCAGTTGCTGAACAAACACGAACCCCTAGCCAAACAAGAAAACCCTGAAGCGGGTTTGAGTATTCCTCTTTGCTATTACAAAAACACATGCACAGCAAAACAACAAAATTACATCATCCCCTCTTTGCTATTTGCTATAATTGGTCTGAGTATTGTGTTTCCATTGACGACCTTTGTCGTTGCAATGAGGAAGTCGTAGCCCATTCCTTCCTGCAATACACAAGGCAAGAGGTATGAAGTGAAGAAAACTAAGAACTAAAGTGTGGTCCAACTTCCTCATGCTGTGTTCGAGAAAAAAAAAGTGTGGCCCAACTAAAGAGAAAAAAAATCATAGTCAAAATTCAGGTCTTATATGCAGTAAAAAAGTTAAGAGAAAGACTTTGTTCAGGTAAACAGTAGCATAGTGGTCAGGTTTTTTTTTGGTAGTGGTGTGGGGGAGGGCTGATCCGTACAATCAACTTTCATAACAAAGGGGACAACAAAAATCACGAAAAAGAATTTACTCTGTGCTAACCAATATAAATTGGTTGCTCCAAATTATTCTTATTGATTTAGTAGTTGAGAAAACAAAATCAGGAAAAAAATTACTCCTATGTACCATGGATACTGATGTGAATTTTTGTTTCTATATAAGAAAATACCTTGGAATCAATTTGCTCTAAACATCTGAAAACTGAGAAACAAGTAGGACAAGGCGTACCTGTGCACTAAGGAATCGAAGGGCAGCAATCTCAGCAAATGTGACACCACCAATAAATACAACCAAAACCAGAGAGCGATGACCAACCCTAGAATGAACAGAAATTTTAGAAAGCAGATTTATAACTGTGAGAATGCTAGGGGAATGGCCCACAATGTTTTACATATCAATATGGTTTTGATTGAAGCATGAGATCATTCTCCCAGATCTGCTACATACTGTCCAGAAATAATCTGAGATTGCATTTTGGTACCACATATTTCAGGGAAAACTGGTTGAGTAACACCAAAAACTTGACCATCTATGTCTGACGTCAACATGACTAGGTACTTCTGTTGCGATCATTACTAACCAAAAAGTTCGGATAATGAAATAGCATGCACAATTTGGTGCATATCTATTTTATAGAGGGCCCTGAACCCAATCAGCACGACTGTGCTGGAAAACAGTGGCCTCTAGGCAAGGGCAAAGGATAGCTAACGTACTAGGAGTTCTGATATATTGTTTTTGCTTTCCTAGAGGAGATGCATGCCATCCTTATAATGATGAGATGACTTGATCCTTATGGAATGACTTGATCCTAGAGAACTAATCTCCAAGCTTAATGAAACAATACAATCTAATCTTATCTCTAAACAATAACACAATCCAAGTGCCCTAGGAAGGCATGGTGCTGCTCCTCCCCTCAGATACCTAGTGTGCTGTGCATGACATCTTCCGACCCCAATTTCCTTGAATTTGTATACAGAGTCAACATGGTGTCCATATCCCTCCCTTCTCTCTCCACTTCAATCATTACCGTCACGTTTGAATTGTTACACAGGAGTGAATTTACCTGTCAATACTCTGTTGAGCCCCTAAACCTGGATGTACCTCTGGTGATGAATTAATTGTCAAACCACCCTACATGAGTGAGAAAATCTTTAAGGAAAAGATTTTTTTTTATTCCCTAAAACGCGAAGGCAATTCAACGAGTTCCACTCACTCTTTTCAAATCCAGATGTGGGCCTGGCAATAGTTTCAACAGTTCTTCAATAGACCGCCTGCAAAGTGAGAAATAAATTTCAGTGTGAGAATGTATATGTCGCAAACGTTCTATCCATTAATTAAGGTTATTAAGGTCATGCATGTAAACCACTTGTACAACATAACAGATGAAGCTTTCCCACCTGAAAAGGATGGGTGAAGCATTTGTTGCCAAATAAACAGCACTTTTTTATCTGATATATTGGTAAAAACTAGGATCTATTTTGAACTAAGAGAGCAGAAATGTAGATAAAGGAAAATTGGGCGACACTCCTATTATATTGGATACTCAATCTAGTAGAAGAGACTTTTTGTAATATATATCAACAAAATGGCTCATAAGTTTCCAGAACTGAAGTCTGCACAATTTATAAATATAAAAAGGAATTGGAAGGCCACATTCCTAAGGAATACATGGGACAAATTTCTTTCTTTAATGCATGTATGTTTTACCCAAGAAAGGAAATGAATAAAGATCATGTGTAATAAGAACTTTCCGTTACTAAGACCTAGATATTTTATTCCCTGACTTCTTTTGGCATAGAAACATTTCTCCCATAGGAAGTTAAACAATCCTTTCTCCGCAGATTACATTCAAAGAAACACGTCATCATCATAAAAAAGTAAAGGGACACAAAGAAACAAGCATGAGAAACATACCATCCAGATCTCACTGCATGCTGAACAAGGCGAATACTAAGAGGTGCGTATCCAGAAAAGATGTAGGATATATCAGTAGGGCTGAAATTGACGATAAGAATAGATTAGTAGAAGTTGAAGGTGCAGTTAGATATCGAATGGCTAGTTACAACGAGCTCAAGAATGGCCATAATTATGCCTTGAATAATCATTACAATGAAGCAGTGCATTGCAGGAAAACAAATAACTTCTAAACAAAATTAGAACTAAACAGAAAAAATATTGACTCTAGAACATTTTGGTAAAAAATTAGGATGAAGTTTGAAAGGATGTACCGAAACAGTTTATATAACTTATATGAAGAAGACAGAAACAGTTTACTTTTCTTGAACATGCAGGAGACCTGTGTATCAGTGCATTGGGGATAAAGTTTAAGAATACAACCACCTCTGTTTCAAAATGTGAAATGCTAAACTTCTCTAACTTTGTCCAATACAAAATTGTACCAACATCTACAACACCATATTAGTTTATTAACTCCGCCACTAAATGTCTTGATAGTGCATTTATATGCTACTGTAGATGTTATAACTTGGTCAAAAGTTAGAGAAGTTTGACTTAGGACAAAAACACCTTACATTTTGGAATAGAGGCAATATTTATGTAACCATGCATATATGAAACCAAACGCTTGTAGCATGAGCAAATAGAACATAATGCAAAGTATATATAAAGCCTCAAGAGTTAATACTTTGCCGTATCATTTACGTCAACTATAAGCTGCAGTGCTCTTGTAATACCAATCCAATTGCTTCTTGATTCCTGGGTAGTAAAACAATATGTCATTGAAGATTAGGAGGGCAAAAGAAAACAACATTGAAGGAACCACAGATGACTGAAGAAAAAGTTTGGTCACACTCAAATCTGACTAACCTGCCTCTTAAGAAGGCCAGCCTTCTCCAGATTGTATAACAAGTGCATGTGCTCAAAGCCATAACTATGAAGTATCTCCCGCCTAGCCAGTAAAAAAAGCAGAGTAAACAAGGATTAAGTGTACACTCAACAGCATGCTGGAATCTAAAAAATAAATTCTAACAAACATAGGATGTATATAACAAATGCACAATAAAATCCTAAAGCACGTGCTTTTAAACAGCATCTACTCCACAAATCCGTGTATTCCATCTTAAGTCTATATTCAATTCATGCATGCAAACAATAGACGTTAAAAGGTGGATATTTCTTATTAAGGGTTTGCATAGGGAGCAGCACACTTGTTTTGCATTGGAGTATGAAGCATGCCTTACATTTGTTCATAAGACCCAAAAAATTATCTTATGGTAGCACCTCCGCTAGTCACAAATTTTTTGCATTGGGTTACGGGGATCAAAGACGATGTCTAGTTTATGGTCAGAAGCCCAGTCTCAGTTCGCTAGTCAAGGTGTCTCTGGCTAGACATGAGGACACTTTCAGTTTATAAACATGTAGGGCTATAAGACCATTGGCCTGGTCATTCTGTTATGTGGCGTAAAGCCTTTATGAATATCTAATATTACACGGTATTTAAATTTATCATGTACGGATGGTGATTCATCAACTTTGTAAATTTATGCACTAGCTTGATCTGGGAGAGGAAAATTACATGGATGCTTTATATTCAGTATTTCTGGGTACCAAAACATCTATTAGTTCATAAAAAGTTGGGAGAAAAGGCGCATCTCTGATGTGATAGCTAGAAAGAAAATTGTGCTCCAAGACAGACGACACTATCAATCCATTTACATATAATGCTACAATACATTTCATAAGTTGTAAAACAATTAACCAATAATGGACATAAAGCCTGCTCACTTCCACTACTTCCTACTGTTGCTGCAGCCGCAAAGACAGCAGGAAATAGCAGAAGTGAGCAGGCTGTTTGTGCATAAGCAATAAAGGAAAAAGAAGAAAGTTTTATAAACCAACATAAGCATACCTCAAGTAATCAAAATTCTTCTTTGGAAGCCCAGCATTTGTAAGAGAAAGTAACACCAAAAGGCGAAGGACATTTTCAATAGCTTCCTGCTTATGTATCATCTCCTCAATGTACTCAAAGCATCTGGGGATGAAGTTAGCTTAGCTCATATATACCGGGAAGAACTAAAACAGGACTCATGTGGTTAATTATGATATCGAAGAAAACATGTGGCCCAACTTAACATAAAATTTAGGCAGCTTTCATAGAAGTGTCAGAGCAAAAAATATCAGCACAAATGCAATTCAAAACACAAGTTCCACTTGGTGAAAGCTCAAGGAGAAAACTTTGCTTTACTCATTCACCAAGTTTCCTGCACGTCGATAAAACAAGCATACAAAAAGGGATATTTTAAGCAAATGAGTAAACTGAAGGATAATAGGTGATGAATGAACTATAGGAAAAAGAAACAGAAGAAAATTACAAGGTGTTTAGTTTGAGGAATGAACTGTCCATCATCTTGTTTGGTTTGTGGAATAGAATAAGTTGATCCATCACCAGTCACCACCTCATTCCTCACGATCTAATAATCAGTACAAGCATGAGGAATGAGGTCATCTACTATACCTAAATAGGAGGAACCCACTAGCAGATTTATCTGCGATTTCGTGAAGCCACGTCATCGAAAGGCCCCACAACCATTTCGAGTTATTCAAGAGCCAACCCAAGAAACCGAAGAGACAGCGTGGGCTCGTGTGAAACTAATCTCCACCGAGTTGACTCCTGACACCGGTCACTACCTTCGAGTTATTCAAGAGGCAACCCAAGAAACCGAAGAGACAATGGGCTCTCAGACTGAAACTGATCTCCACCGAGCTGACTCTTGGTTTTCATATGGGCGCACTATCGGCACAGGAGCTGCCCCTACAAAATAGACCATGTCTATCTATCTCTCCCCCACCTCATCCCATGAGCATCACTGCTGCTAGAGCCAGACAGCATCACCCTAGGCTGCAGTCTGTCGGCATGGGGCATATGGTGCCAGGGAAGGTTGCCCTGAAGATCTACAGCCAGAGCGGGCGAAGGGGATGGGTGGGGGTGGTGCCGATGCGGCTTGCTGCAGGGCGAGGTGGGCCGGAGGCAGCGACGCCGGAGAAGCCTGCATCGAAGATCTGTAGTGACTAGTGAGAGCGCGGGAGAGGATGGAAGCGGCTTTGGAAGGAACTGCCTCCGCCGACGAGTAACGATGCGTAGAGGAAAAAAAGGACGGGGAGGTGCTCGGGCGGCCATGGTACTGAAGGCCAGAAAACTTGCGGGCCTGGGAACTGAAGAAATGAGGGAGTATTGGGCCTGGGAACCTTCAAGCGGGAGAGGTGGGTCTGCAAGCCATACTGGCCTAGGTGCTCCTTGCTCGATACTAATATTATTCCCTATAGTAATACTGTCTCTCTCACTCTCTATAGTTAATTAGCACAAATAATGCTTATGTATTATATGCAATTTTAATTGTCAATTTATCAGCAGCCAAACTCCACCTATGTTGTCTCAACATAGCTGGTCCCAAGCCCTGATAAAGGAGGAGGGTTGTGATAGGCGTGGCGAGCCAACGTTAAATCTAGCCATTCTAATGGAGATGAAACCCGAAAGAAAACCGTTGGGGCGTAACCCTCTTAGCGATGCGCCATATCGGAACCCGGGTACGGTGTTAAATGAGCAAGGGCCGGGTCGTCACCCCCATGACGCGCCGTGTCGCGATCTGGGCACGGTGTCAAGTGAGCAAGGATCGGGTCGTCGCATCCTTAGTGGCGCGCTACATCGGCGCCCGGGTGTAGTGAAAAATGAGCAAGGGTCTTCACATATGAGTCGACAGGTGTGAAGGGTAAGGAAGCTAGTCGAACCAACTAGGATCCGTTTAGATAGTTGGAATGTAGGGTCGCTTACAGGTAAGCTAAGAGAATTAGTTGATACCGCGACTAGGAGGCGTGTAAATATATTATGCGTTCAAGAGACTAAATGGAAGGGTCAGAAGGCGAAGGAGGTGGACAATATAGGTTTCAAGCTTTGGTACACAGGGACAGTTGCGAATAGATATGGAGTAGGAGTTTTGATTGATAAGAGCCTCATGAATAGTGTGGTGGGAGTAAGAAGGCAAGGAGATAGGATTATCTTAGTTAAGCTTGTCATTGGTGATATGGTCTTGAACGTAATTAGTGCGTATGCCCCCCAAGTAGGCCTCGACGAGAGTGCTAAGAGACAGTTCTGGAAAGACTTAGATGGCCTGATTAGAGCTGTACCTAGTAGTGAGAAGCTTTTTATAGGAAGAGATCTTAATGGGCATGTAGGTACTACAAGCGCAGGTTTCGAGACAGTTCATGGAGGTTTTGGGTATGGTAGTAGGAATCAGGAGGGGGAGGAAGTTCTGGACTTCGCGGTAGCTTTTGACCTGATGATAGCCAACACTTTCTTTAGAAAAAAAAATCTCATCTAGTGACCTTCAGTAGCGGACAACGCTCTAGCTAGATTGACTTTGTCCTCACAAGAAGAAAGGACAAACGAGCATGCTTGGGTTGCAAGGTGATTCTAGGGGAGTGTGTTGTTTCTCAACATAAGCTTTTGGTGGCAGACTTTCGTTTTCAGGTGCGTGCCCGTAGGGATAAACAAGCTAAGATTGAAAGAACAAAGTGGTGGAAACTGAAAAGAGAGACGTCAGAGGTATTCAGGGAAAGGGTTATCAAAGAGGGCTCTTGAAAGGAAGAAGAGGACATAAACAACATGTGGGAGAAGATGGCAACCAACATTCGGAATGTGGCCTAAGAGGTGTGGAGTAACCAAAGGAAGTGGAGGCGAGGCTAAAGATACTTGGTGGTGTAACGAGGAAGTCCAAAGGGCTATTAAGGAGAAGAAAGAATGCTATAGACGCTTGTACCATGACAGGAGTGTGGACAACATAGAGAAGTACAAGGTGGCAAAGAAGACTGCAAAGCAAGCTGTAAGTGTGGCAAAGGGTAGAGCGTACGAGGATCTTTACCAACGTTTGAGTACGAAGGAAGGAGAGAAGGACATTTATAGGATGGCTAGGGTTCGTGAGAGAAAGACAAGGGACTTCAACCAAGTTAAGTGCATTAAAGATGAAAGAGAGCATCTCTTGGTGAAGGAGGATGAGATCCGACATCGATGGCAAGAGTATTTTGACAAATTGTTCAATGGTGAGAAAACGGACACAACCTTTCAGTTGGATGACTCTTTTGGTGACACCAATAGGCGCTTTGTGCGGAGAATCCAAGAATCTGAGGTCAGAGAGACGTTGAAAATGATGAAAAGAGGTAAGGCGATGGGACCGGATGGTATCCCAATTGAGGTGTGGAGATGCCTCGGGGACATAGCTATAGTATGGCTAACCAAGCTGTTCAACCATATTTTTCGATCGAACAAGATGCCTGATGAGTGGAGGAGAAGTATATTGGTACCGATCTACAAGAATAAAGGGGATATTCAAAGTTGTACTAATTACCGGAGAATTAAGTTGATGAGCCATACTATGAAGCTATGGGAGAGAGAGTTATCGAGCATCACTTGAGAGCAATAACGCGGGTGTCTATGAACCAATTTGGTTTCATGCCCGGAAGGTCAACCATGGAAGCCATTTTCTTAATAAGACAAGTTATGGAGCGGTATAGGGAGAAGAAGAAGGACCTACACATAGTTTTTATTGACTTGAAGAAGGCTTATGATAAAATACCAAGGAATGTTATGTGGTAGGCTTTGGACAAACATAAAGTCCCAACGAAGTACGTCGGGCTCATTAAGGACATGTACAACAATGTTGTGACTAGAGTTCGAACAATTGATGGAGAGACGGATGACTTCCCGATTAGGATAGGACTACATCAAGGGTCAGCTTTGAGCCCTTATTTGTTTGCCTTAGTGATGGATGAGGTCACAAGAGACATACAAAGGGACATCCCGTGGTGTATGCTTTTCGCGGACGATGTAGTGCTAGTTGATGAAAGCCGGACAGGAGTGAATCAGAAACTGGAGTTATGGCGGGAGACTTTGGTGTCCATAAGTTTTAGACTCAGTAGAACTAAAACTGAGTATATGAGATGTGACTTCGGGACTACTACTCGGAAGGAGGAAGATATTAGTTTGGAAGGTCAAGTAGTGCCTAAGAAGGATACCTTTCGATATTTAGGATCAATGCTACAAAGAGACGGGGATATTGATGAAGATGTTAGCCATAGAATCAAAGCATGGTGGATGAAGTGACGGCAAGCATCTGGTGTCCTATGTGATAAAAGGGTACCACATAAGGTAAAAGGCAAGTTTTATAGGACGGCGATTAGACCTGTTATGTTGTATGGTGCAGAATGTTGGCCTACGAAAAGACGACATGTTCAACAGATAAGTGTCGCGAAAATGCGTATGTTGCGTTAGATTTGCGGTCATACAAGAAGGAATCGAGTTCGGAGCGATGATATACGTGATAGATTAGGGGTGGCACCAATTGAAGAAAAGCTTATCCAACACCGGTTGAGATGGTTTGGACATGTCCAACGGAGACCTCCAGAGGCACGGTGCGTAGTGGAATCCTAAGCTAGGATAGTAACGTGAAGAGAGGCAGAGGATGACCGAAGTTGACTTAGATAGAGGCAATAAAAGAAGACTTGAAAAGATACAATATACCCAAAGACTTAGCCTTAGATAGGAGTGCTTGAAAGACAGCTATTCACGTGCCTGAACCTTGATTGCTTCTGCTCGGTTTCAACTCTAGCCTACCCCAACTTGTTTGGGACTTAAAGGCTTTGTTATTGTTGTTGTTGTTGTTGTAATTTATCAGCAGCCACCAGATGTTATGTTCCTGAAATGAACCGTGTATTTTTCAAATGATCAATATTTTTTTTCAAGATATCGGTATCTCTCACTCCATGTCATCCTTTCTCCATGATGCAGTACAATGCTACTACAAAGTTCCCGCAGCAATGCGCGGGATATCATCTAGTTCCACCAAATTTGGGGGATGGGTTCCTCCTCAAACCAAACACCCTCTTAAAGAGCAGTGGAAATAAAATGAAATGCAGCTCCTCGGTGTTCAAAAGCAGAAAAAAAAGAAGGGCAGTGAAAAGATAAACTCACATTTCAAAGTTCTGAACCTCCAATATTGTTTGTTCTATGTCTAGTCGGGCATGAAAGGAGGGTTTCCCCGTGAACGATTGCAAGTGTTGTGCCAAATGAACATGCCTCTAAACAACATGCAATAAGTTAGTAAAATAATATCAGAGAAAAATGAATGCATCCAATCAACTCACAGCTATCTCCGGTAGCGAGTGCAACCTCCTCACAAAATCCTTGAGCTCCGAAACGGACTGAGTCTGTTAAAAACCACAATATCAATTAATTAATTCCCTTCCCTTTTCTACATTGTACTAGGCAAAGGTAATTTACTGTAGAAATAAACAGGCATAACATTTAAACAACACTGAAAGCAAGAGACACACTAAAAAGTAGTAAGTTCTTCATACTAAGAGTTCCATCAAAGCATGTCCACATTTAGACTAATTTTGATATTGTTATCCAAGCAATCACACCTAGATCACCGACTATTGTACTAGGAGATGCCCCCTGAATCTTCAAATAAGACAAATTTATTTAGGTCAAGCAGAGCTGTTGATTATACAATGTAAACGACATTTCTTGATACTTTAATATTTTTATGATCTTGTGTAAATATTAAACCAGCTGCATCAGTCCAAATCCATATCCATGTCACTTCTCAACAGAAGGCAAAGCAAATGCTATATGTCCAGGTTATCATAATCACAGGCACAAAGCAAAGACTGAAAAGTGCGTATTGTCTTCTTTTTTTTTTGGGGCAAAGTTAATCCTCCTACCATTGATTCAATCCTCTGGCACGGTTGAAGAATAGAGGCAGATTAGACACTTTTGTTTATCAATTGTCCTGATTGAAACAATTACAATCCATTATTGAGGCTTTCTCCAAAGAACTCAATCTTATCTCTAAAACAAACTATAACTTGATTAACATACAAAGTACTTGATTTGTTGGGGAACAATAATTCAATCTTAATATAACATGGGGACTCATTCTGATTCCAACAGTACATAGTCTAAAAAAAAATTATATCAGTAAATCATCTGAAAGAGGTAGCCCATATTTAAAACACACATGAACTCGGCATTTGCATTCTTGCTCTTGAACAATGCTGTAAATGACAACAGACATAGACGACACAGGGCAAAACACAACGCGCTTAATTCTTACGTTGGTGGATTTCACTTCCGCATAATCTTGCTGAATAGACGTTGCTTTTTGACGTAAAACCTGCAGTCAATACATTATAATTATTTAATATGGGTAAAATGATGGTAGCCATAACTAAAAAAAAAGTGGAATTAGAAATGATGGCTATGACAATAGCAGGTACAACCAAAACCACAAAAGTTAGCACAAAGTTCCTTCACATGAATAAACAAAAGTTGAAGTCAGTGGAGTGAACCTGAACTACAACTTCAAAATTGAGGTCTCGGATCTCCTTGTACAACTTGTCGCTGAAAAAAAGAACACCAATATAAATGCATAGCTCCAAAAATACAGCAAAATATCCTGTAAAAATGCAAGCCTATGTACAATCAGACAATTGCACACATATATTTGCACTATCTACAGTCACAAATAAGTACCAGTCTCTATCCAATAAATTTGTACGAAAGTAGTTTTCATGAAAAGCCAACTGGTACATTTCCACATAGCCAATCAAGGTACTCATGAAGGTAAGTTGATCAGACATCAGAAGTTTGATTGCAGACATTTTGCACCATCACTTACTTTTGGTAGGAAGGAGTAACAGATATTAACTTCAAAAACTAAGAAATCCATTAATAACAATTATCTCAACTTTACGCTAAAAAAACAATTATCTCAACTTTCTAGATCCAAAAGTTTCAAAACTGTGCAAAACAAACCATAAGTATCTTGATAATGACAAGGATGCCAATAGAGTAGCTAAGAATAAAAAACTGAATAAAAAAAGTAGAATGCTGGGTTACAAAGTATTCGTTGGCACAAAGCAAATTTACAATTTAGTAACATGTACTCTCTCAATAACAAATACTAGAAGATACCCCACGCGTTGCTGCGGGGATTGCGGAGAATTTGAAATAAAATTAAATTGAGATGATGTGGATAGCTTCCAATTGAGAGGTTGAAAGTAAGTGGGATGGCATGGCTATTAGCGGGAGATGATGTGGATAGTTAGTGCGGATGATGTGGATGGCTTGCATGATGAGAGACTTGTAGTGGGGATTAGCATTATCTAGATATAGATCAGTCATTTAGGACAGCTAAAAAGGTTTGACTTATGGCAGATCTAAAACGGTTCATATTTGTGACCAGGAGTATTTCAAAATTTAAAGAGCATATTAATAGTCACTAACTGAGGCAGGGAAATTTACCTTGAATTCAGTGGAACTTTAACCTTTTTCCCATCTTGTTGAGTTCCAATGATGCTTGCATCAACTTCCACTGAACCGTTATTAATTTGTAGCATCTGTAGAATATTACATGATCCTAGATATTTAAATTCAAACAATTTGAGATTCTATATCACTGTAGCAATGCAGCAGGTTTAGGGTTTACAAAACGGATGATAGATCATCTGTATGTATCGATTGCATTTATTTAGGCCAAAAAGAATGTTTCAGGACCTATCATGCAGTGATGATGGCCGTGTTTGGATTGAGGCACTAGGAGTACTGGCTGGGCCAGGCAGCACTGCCCAGTAGCCAACCAAAGAGCCCCTAGCCAATGCCACCATGTTTAGAGTTACTTTCAGAGTCATAAAGAACAACAGACAAAAAGAAGACAAGGCCTAATTAAGAAAAAGTCCTAGGCAACACTTCCCTGCTGCAAACAAAGCAGGTCAGCATGCAGCTGTGTATGCATTTCTAGATAAACTAAGATTACTGGATCATTATGTGCAATCTAGTAGCGGATATTTACTGAAACAGCATCATAGTAACAAATGTAATTAACAATACAAGAGTAGAAGCAACAGAACAACGGGAAATATTACATCCTCTCTTTACACTCAAGTTGAAAAACACAAAGCAAATTAGCCATTATATAATGGCTAGATGATTTCATAGATAGTTCTGGAGTGCCAAATAGGCCACCTCCAATATGCATCTGAGCACAACAATAGCGGATTATGAAATTGTTCATTTGACCATGACATACTATTGTGTGTTAAAAAAAGGATGTTTCAGACATATTTTTCTTTCTCGAACATACAGGAGCGCAGCATATATTTGTATTAATATAAAGAAAGTGAAATACAACAACCCACTTTGTCTCACTTAGGAGAACAAAGGGGCTACAGCTGTGGTTTCAGATATTGACAGCCTTTAATACCACTTTTTACTGCTATTTTGTATTATTATTAATTTATTAATTAGGCTAACAAAAATATTAAAAGGCATTCTGGAAGACTTTTTGTTGACAGATCTGCTGATATTACATTTATAAGATCATTCCAAATACTTTTATGTAGATCAATGTTGAAACTAGGGCCTCTTTGGTGCGGCTCCCACACCAACTCTGGCTCCATTCCTGAGAACAGCTACAGACAGAGCCACACCAAATGGCCTCATGATAGAAGTGCTTCTGGCCTGGGTGACAAAGGAGCTGGAGCGGTTTTCTACGTACGAAGGCGAAGCTGCTTTCTAGGTGCCCCTGCTCCGGCTCTGCCTTCTGCGGTGGCGCAGTGGAGCCGGAGCGGCACCAAACAGGCTCTTAATAGTCACATGAAGTTTGCCAGAGACAACATAATAGATTTAACAACTAAAGAGTTTTAGGTAGTCTTTGGTGACTTAACTGCATTGGTACTGCAAAAAAAAATATTGTTTAATCCGAACAGACATGGTGAAATCTGAACAGAGGATCTAGTGGAGGAATCAGAAAGATGTATGCAGCAATCAACTTTTTCTTGTTGGTAAAAGAAAGGGAATTATACAATGTTTCTTGTTGGTTCCATCCTTAGATAAAGCGATATTAGAACGTCATACAGATGCAAGTTCATAGTTCTATGATGACTTTACCATGGTAACAGAAAACAGAAACAGATCACATGCTCATGAATTTAAGCCAGGATGGAAAGTTTCTATAGCCTACCTCATCCAACAAGCCTTCATACGTCAACTGAGAGCACATTGGTGTCACCATGTCCACCTGAATGGAAATAAAATTAGAACAGATAAGAAAAACTATAATACATCAAAACAGTATCACACCTGATATCACTGTAAAATGTATCACTTAATGACTTAAAGAGAAATACATGGTAAAAACAGAAGACAAGAAGCACTAAATGATTGTTTTCGGAAATGAAAATCACAGTGCAAATAGAATATAACAGAATATGTACCTCTCTGTCTAGCAGAATAACAGTGTTTATCTCCGGAATCCCCATCTAAGACACCACAAAGAAAAAAAAGATGGAACTAGTCAGGTTCAAATAAATTTAGAAACTTGAGTAACAGAAGCAAAACATCAGTTGGTCTTACATCATCCATGTTGACTGGATCCTCTAGTTGCATATTATTCAACAACTCTGCAGCTTTGGTTGACGCCACACCCTTAGCCCTAACATTCGGGATAACCCCAAAGGCAAACTGGCAAAAGAGGAAGTAATAAGCACAAATGCATAGTTCCAAGAATCTTATAAATCGGTGCAACAAAATACAACAGGGTGTTATGTCTTCTAATTAATGAATTGTCAACTTGAGATTTTCAATATTTCTAAAATTGGTACATACTCTGTACTCAAGTCCATTTAATACCTCAGGCACAAATGCATGCATTAGGGCCTGTTTGGTCGGTGGCCTGGCCCAGCCAACACCGTCCAGCCCCAGGCCACCAAAAATGCAAGTCTGGAATTGCTGCCTGGTAGGCAGCTTTCCTAGGGTCCAACCCAAACAGGCCACTAGTACTAGGAAGACATGATACCTCTAATTTATGGATCGCTTGAGCAACATGCCAGATAGAACTTGTATCTCCTTCAATAAGGCATTCCTATAAAATCACAAGGGCTAAAATGAGATTCAGAATATCAGAAAGACAAATGCTAGATATATGCAATAGTACCTGCAAAGAATGATCAAGTTCAAGAGACAGGACATCGTCATCCAATGGAACTAGATATAAGGGATATTCTCCGAATGTCAGTTTCTGATGAACTTTCTCTTCCTCCAGGATCTGCAGATGCCAAGTAAAACAGTTCTTAGAAGCCATCTTCGAATCACAAACATGCTTTATTTCCATTCATCTTCATGGCAGCAGAAAAAGAAAGACATAGATCGCCTTCAAGGTATCTCATTTATTATTAAAACATTAACATACATATATGCAAAATAACAATGTAAAGTCATGGTCAAAGCAAATAATATTTCAGGCCTGATACACATCATGTATGAGAATCATATACATAGTACAAACATGACACAGCCAATGCTTAGCATGTGACAAACAAGGTGCTGTCGTTGAACTCATGTCTAAGCATAGCCTAAGGGCAAAGGCATAAACTGATGAACTAGCTCCAGCCTGCCAAGTGCCAATTTCTGGAACATATAGAAACCAATTTTCAACTAGACTCAGTGATATCTACTCATTCAAGCAAAACTATAATTGATTGAATGCATGAACATACAAGAATCAGAAGGTTCAAGGATACATGTCCATCATAACTGGGAAACGGTTATTACTTTGAGTTTCATTGTTATTACTAAATTTAAATTTAGAACAAATTAATAGATCTGAGAGTTGCAAACTATTCTACAGCACCCATACACAATATAGAACCCACTAGTGGATTAGTTCAAACATGAAAAGAATAACAGATACCTTCTCACAAGCAACGGTGCGGCGAGGTACAAAGTAAAGGAAGTATTCCCTCTGGAGCCCTTTAGGTTCATCGTTCTTGATTTGACTTGCAATGAACTTCATGAAGCTTAGCTGAGAGCGCACAAGATATATGATTTTTGGGCATTCCGTCTGCAGGGGTTCGGGGGAGAGAATCCGCAATTCCGCGCCATACTCCTGATAAGCAGAATAAAGGGCATAATGAGCTAAGAAACTCTGGAAATTAAACAGATGAACCAGGGTACATGCTGTGGCATAGCCTAGACCTTGACATATGATATATATAAAATATAAAATGTACTAGCAAAGAATATTACTGCAACACAGAATTATTAAAGATAACCAGACAGGACTAGCATACACATAAGTATCATCACACCTTTAGCAGCGATGTCTGCACAATCAGTGACAGAGTCCCAGCGAGCTTGGGATCAATGACCAAGCACTTCTTCCCCCTTATCTGGTACGCATCACAAAGGAAACCAAACTCCTCAGTTCAGCATCAACAACAAGACCACCGGAGATCATGGTTATAACGAGCAGCGGGAGACAGGAAACACACATTTTTTAGGATGCCGAGCAGGTCCTTCTGCGACTGCTCCCTACAAACAGATCGAATAAGCCTGTCAGAATCCAGATGCGTAACAGATAGGAGGAGGCGAGCGAATGAGACGGTTCACGATGGTGGGGGCACCTGAGGGCCGCTAGGTTGAGCGGCGCGTTGTCGAGATTGGGGATCTGCGCCATCTGCCCAGCGTTGAATTGAAAGGAATCTATCAAAGTCCGGGTAGATCTCTGCTCCACCCCCAGCCTAAACAGAGGTGGACAACGGGGGCAGGAAAGAACGATATAATCAAGCAGTACAGGAATTTTCAGTGTACACTATATAGTTAACACATCATCCAAGATCACAGAATTAAGAAATTTGAGCACGCACGAATCAATTGGCGATAAAGGATGGCTGGATGAGGCAGAAATCGTGCAATACCTCAGGCTGATCGAGCGGGTTTGCGGCGGAGGCACGTCACGGGACGGACCAGCGGGTGTCTACGGAGCAGTGACAGAGTCCACCGGCCAAGGGAGGCAGCTCGGGCAGCGGCGGCGCTCCGCGGCACCCGTCGTCTCCTCCTGCCGCCCAGCTGGATCACCGGCGTGGGGTGCTGCGAGTTTGATAGACCGAAGGTCGCCGGCGACGGCCGGTATCGCTGAGACGGGATGGGCTGGGCTGCGCTGGGCACACAGTCATAGGGGGAAAAAACAAAACAAAAACAAAAAAACGAGATTTCTTTTGTTTTTATGTTTTTTAATTCGTTTTTCTAAAAAATCACCCGGGTTTACCGAAATATACTTCTTTCGCCATTTTTTCCTTTAGGCCCCGTTCGTTCTTTTGGGAATGAAGCCAAGGAAAAATTCCGACCGGAATCATTACTTTAATTTATATAAGCTCGACTGGCCGGATTGATTCCCGGCGTCAAAACGACTTAACCGAACGAGCCCTTAAGATTATGAATTATACTATAGAGACAGACGCACTTTCATGCGCAGCACGTTTCGTAATTGGTAAAGTTACTAAAAACATCTCGCAACACATCATCTAACACTAGAAAAGTAGCATCATTAAACAAAAGTTAAAATAATTTTACATACATGTGAGAAACCAACTTACTTATCTGACTCTACATTCGGTTTGCACTTATTTCACCGTCAATTAAAATTTTGGTTTAAACGTTCCACTCGAAGGCCCGTTCGTTTCGCTGAAAAAACAAGCCAAAACGTTGTTCCGCCTGATTTGTTGTGAGAGAAAAATACTGCTCCGCTAAAAAAACAAGCTAAAAAGTATGGATTATAAGAGAAACGAACAGGACCAAAATGTGTGGAATTAAGCTTTTCTACATAATGCATCTTAATAAAATCAGAGCCTTCTTATATGAGCTTAGACGACGACTGAGATCTACTGACTTTGAAGCACATAATTTTTTGCTAAAAATTATCTTGTGTCAAATAATTGATTAAACATTAGAAATATATGAAGGGGTGGTGAACTAGAAAGTTTATGCCTATAATTTTAATAAATTTATTCACGCCATTACACCCCATATCTCAAAAAATTATAACTTGTTATAACAATTTATAGAGATATTTTTTTATAGAAATAGCAGTGCTCAATAAGCTCTACAGGTTTATAGCTCACAACGTTTTTTTATCCATCTTGGGATTGAAATAATCAATCAGTGTTCTCCTAAGCATTAAACATTAATCGATCAACCACCCGTCATTTAGCCAACTAAATAGGATATAAATGATGGTTTAAACAAGTGTTTAAAGTGAAATCAAAGGCTATTTAATTAATCAGACAGGACTGGCCTCTTTGTACTATTTAAATAGGTCAATGGCGTTTAGGTCAATAGTGTAATCCAAACAATGTGTATATCAGCACATCTGCGATACATTATATCAGCTATTACTTCGACACCAAGTTGGATTTAACAAATTGACACTAAGGTATTTTTAAGACAAATTGACACTAAGGTAAAATGACTCTTGTGTCCGTACTTATTGGAGGTACGGTTCATATGAAGGCTATGTTCCTCTCTCTTGTAATCCGTCTTTTTCAGCTTGTTTTTTCAGTCGGAACAGTGTTTTTCTTTTACAACAAATCAGCTGGAACCATGTTTAAGCTTGTTTTTTCAGCGAAGCGAACGGGGCCAAAAAGGTCGGTTGTCATTTGCTACCGCTTAGATAATTGTGGTAATTAAAAAATTATGCATCCATGCAGTATACCTAGTACTATTAACATCCTCGTGCCAAAAAATCTGCATGTTAATATGGGAATTATAAGAACTGCTAATTTGTAACTTCAGCTCGCGTGTGGTTGCTCATAATCCACGTTCATGTAACATGGTTGCCCATGGTTTAGCAGCCTTAGAGTATTTCCAAGAGACTCTTTATATCCATTATAAATGTTAAATACTAGAATTAGAGATTTTGGTAAAAAACTACCATCATTATCCAAATATAGTCATCCTCCGTTCCAAGTTTTTCGCTAGCCAAATATAGAAGACGAGAATGGCTCTATAAAGTGGATACGAGATTTAGAAAAACTGTTGGAGTGTGAAAATATATGAAAAATGATTTTTATGCAAATGACTCTCCAAATGATGATTTAGAGAGTGAGATTTATAAACGCTCTTGGAGATGCTCTTAGGGACAAGTCTAAGACCGGTGACGAAATCCTAACATATGGGTATGTTAAGCCTTGGGATCAATGGTTCCTGACCAAAGAGACCTGACTGAGTTTGAGCACGCCACAGCCCCCGCTCAGGGCTCGAGGGCTCACCCTAGCCTCAGACTCTCGATCGATGGCGCGCCCGTGCTCGGTCCTTAGCTCCTGCTCAGCCTACGACGCCAGCCAAGGGCCAGGTGCAAGAGGACAAGCCCCGAGCCATCGAGGCTCGGGGGCTCCCAGACGCTGCACTCCGAGCGCGGCCTTGCCGGCCGCTCCCACGACAGGGTCACGCATGGGGCGTGACACAAGAAGACAAGTCTCCTCGGCCTCCAGGGGCTGGGCGACTCCCGGTCCCGCACGTCAGTCCCTGAAGCCGACCTCCTTCGCCACTAAGAAGACTCTAAAAGGTCCACCTAGGGGAGGCCGGTCCAAGCCGACACAGCCTGACACACAGAGTGTTAGAACAAAGCAGTCGGACGACGTCCAAGGCTTCTTCGGCTCTACGACACCGCCATAGTCCACAGAGCACTGCTGCAAGACCCTCCTAAACTCCGACGTATGTAGACTGTAGACACTTCTCCCCAAACCGCCATGTACCCAACCTATCTCGGTATATAAGGGATAAGGTCGGACCTTAGGGGGGAGGGAGGATCTGAGACAGATCATTCGATTCCATTCCTCATTCGATCCGCTCCTGCTCAGCACCGAGGGCAGGGCAACCTAGAGAGGGGCACCGAGAGCTCCTCCGCCGCATCCATCGTCTTCCTCCTCTCCGACGAGGGGAAGACTCCACCAGTGGTAGAGCAACCTTAGGATTAGCACCGAGCTAACCCCCTACCAAATCTCTCTACACTCCGTTGTAACCTCCTGATTTTAGGTGCTCTTGAGTATAAGGATCATCAGCTGCTAGACGTAGGGCATCGATCGGCCCAAACCAAGATGGACCGTTGCGTCCCCTCTGTGATTCTTGTGTTCTTGTGTCCACCCGATCCATCGGAGACACGTACTTTGACACTGACTCGAACAACAATGTTTGCCGCGGTTCCGACACCGCGACAGCTGATGCGCCAGGTAGGGGGCAGCGTCAAGTGCGATTCAGGCCCTATGGTGGCCGAAGCCACCCGCCTCATCGCTAGAGTAAGCGGCACCGCCCAGACGGCGGTGTCTGCTTACCTAGGGAGTTCTTCATCACAGTCGGTGCCTTCGTTCTAGGCCAGGTCCTTAACTTTGGGAGCCTGGCCTACGTTATCGACTGCTACGACGAGCTTTGTCCGTTCGATGGGGCCACGCCGGCGGGCAACGAGCTCTCGGCGTCGCTCCCTCCGCCGGGCCTCTTGGGAGCATATCTCGAGGTCCTAGCCCGACAGATCAGGCGTGGGCTGGGTCCATACCCCACCATGTCGAACCGGCGCTAGATGTTCTACATGCTAGCCAACGTCCACCACCAGATTGCCACCGGCGAGGTGCTACCACCGCCTGACCGCTTCTAGCACTACCTCCTAGACCTGCCTTTCAGGATCTAGAATGCGGTGTCGTCCTTCCAGCTAGAGTTGGAGCACCTTATCAGCCGTGAAGCGCCATAGAGCGCCATCCTCTCTGGCATCGCAGGGGCTGACGTCCCCTCACTATGCACCTTCCTCAAGATCCTCTCGGGGAATGGCTCAAAGTTCAACTTTGATGACATCGACTACTATGCCCCGCTGCACATGTGCTACCACATCGTCCGCAAGGTTCCCCCTGATGAGGCGCCCAAGCTCACGCAGCCGCGCGAACTACCTTCAGGAGAAGGCGAATCGCTTGCGAGCTCGGTAGGTAGACCTAGAGGCCACCGAGGCATAGCTTGAGCACCAAAGGTAGGACTTTGCGCGATAGCAAGCCGTGCAGCCTCCTATCAACAATGATGATGCCCACACGGGGGCTCCCGACACCCTACGCTTCCCTCGGGCGGCCTACAACATGGCGGTCGCCGCCTGCCGGCTGGAGGACATCTTCGACACACCGGACCCAATGACCAACGAGCAGCTGCATGAGGCAAGGTGGCTTCTCCACATCGCCCTTGAGTAGCAGGCTGAAAGCTCTGCTTCCCAACGTTGTGTTGCGCCCTCCAGGCCATCCTAGCCAATGACCATCGCCAACAGGGATCGCTCCGACGCACATGCCCTGCTGGCGGCCAAAAGCGGTGGCGACTCCTCCAGCATAGCTCTGACCACCCATGGACCAGGGGCGCTAAGCCACGGTAGGAGTGAAGGCGTGAGCCTTCCCCTCGGTGTTCCCCCGTATGCCACCGGATTGGCGACGACCGCGACTTTTGCGACACCATCAAGGCTAGGCGCCATGCTAGCGTGCAATCCCACACTCCTGAGTGGAGGGGCTAGGGCGCTGCCCCAGATCACTTTGGCCCAAAGGTGTTTGGGGCGGTGATCCGGGCGACACCTTACCCTAGGCAATTTCAACCACCAACGCACATCTCCAAGTATGATGGCGAGACCAACTTGGACCATTGGCTCGATGACTACCGCCT